TCATTCATGCAAATTTTATTAAGTGAGGACGTAATTGATGTATTTTTTAAAGGATGGACTAATTTGACATTTTCGAGCGAAACTGGGAACAAAATAGGATATTAAGCCTTGTTTCTATTATGCTATTTTTGGATTTGGATGGTGGCACTATGTGCATAGGCTAGGAAAATACTGAGAGTTGGTGGTGGCCTTGATAAGTGTGATTTTATGCACTCATTAAGTATTTAAATTTGATTTTATTGGTTGATTATTGTTTTTTAAGATGCTGTTTTAACTATGATTTGTTACAACAAGGTAAAATGAGCAATGACCTTTGAGTATGAAAACATGTTAAAACAAGTCTTTTAACATATGTTTGTTGGTTATTGTTATGATTAAGATTTGACTAAATCAAATCTAATCAAAACTACAACTATCAAAGTTCCTCTAAAATCGCAAATACGTAGATAAAAGATTATTTCAGATAACCAAATATTTTTATCAAAAAAAATTTAAATCATAAATAATTAAATTTTATTTTCAATATACAAATGTGCGAAGATGACATATATAAGATTAATCATATCTTAATTTTGTCCTAACAGATATAGTTTGCAAAGTTTCCTTTTCAACGAGACATTTGAACACTCTTATGGACAATCATTTCACCGTTAAATGTTCATATTGATATTAAAGATGAAAGTGTTGAAGCCAAACTTAAATTAAGTGTTATGATTTATGAAGAACTACACGCACACAAATAATCCTCAATGCTTTAATCAAGCAATGAAAAATCAATGAACAAAAGATTAGTTAACCTCCTCCTCTATAAACCTAACAAGTGGTGATTGTTAGAATTCTATGTATGAGTCTAAGTCCCACTGTAAGACTCGTGGATAATATAATGATTAGAAATAAATTATTCTTGAGACTTTGGTGTTTTTTTTTATAATTGGTGTTCTTATGTGTACATCTTTGTTAGAACATAATTGTTATGTTATTTTTTTATTTTATTTTAATTAAGTGCAACACATGTTTTGATATGTTTGTTAGATTGTGATACGTGTGTATTATTACCAATGTGATGTGTTGGCTTGTTGGTAGGGATGTTGTCTAGGATTGAAAGTTTGTGGGTTTAATTTCTAGGGATTAAGGTAAACCTTAGTTTTATTTGTATTTTTTCCTACGGGAAAAAATGTCTTTTTACCTTTATTAGTAGGGGCAAAAATTAAAATAGGGGTGTGTTAAGATGTCGACAAGTGTACCGAATCGTATCAAGTAATATAAAATGGTAAGACCAAGTATCGTATCCCAGAGGACTCACGACACTAAACAGTTATGTGATTACTCAACAAATTAAGACTTTTGAAGAACAATTTAAGGGTTTTGAATGCAAATGCAATAAAAATAAACATGAATGCAATTTTGACCAATTGAAAGAAAAACACAAAGGTAAATGGATGATATTGAAAATATGAGATGAATATGTTGTTAGGGTTTAGATTTCACGAGTTTCCTCTCATGCATATATGAATTCATCTTCTTCATTAATGTTAATATCACTTTCTAAATTACTTAAAACCCGATGTCTCGATGAAGAAAGCCTATCCTTAATTACTAGTTCATAATGTCTTGTATCCCTAATAATTAATTTAGCATTATGCTTAGAAGCTTAAGATAACCAAAACTCATATCCCAATGTCTAGGCAATACTGTTTTTGGGAGCAATTCTCCAGATCTAGATTTCCCTGTATGTGTCCATATCACGAAAACCAATAATCATGTCATGAATGAGTTAAACATAACAAGCATTGAGCAAAGAAGAATAACCCTAACAATTAATGAAAGAAGCATAAATATATTTGAATCAATTCAAATACATGAGAGTTCACAAGGTTACATCATCCCCCAACAATAAATAAGGTTTAGTTCCCCATCATCATGGAGAAACTAGATGAACAATGGAATGAAAGAGATAGAAAAACCCTAAAAACTGAAGAGGAGAGCTTCCGCATCCTCTTCTACCTCCAAAGAGTTGAAGAAATTTGAATTTGTGTCAATTCTGTCAAAAGATACCCTCTCTAGGTCGAGCAAAGCCTTAAATAGGGCTGAATTGGGGAATGGGCCAACGTTACTGACGCAAGTGTCATGGACCGATCGGTTTTACTTTGTTAGTCGTTCGGCCTCACACTATTGACTGTTCGGCCTCTCCTTTCTCAAACCGTTCAGTTTGTCTTCTTTCTCACACTGTTCGGTCTGCATTCTATTACACCGTTCGGTCTATCTCATTTCACCGATCGGTTTATCTTCTTGAACTGTTCAGTCTTGATTCTCCTCTTTCAAATCATTCCAATTTCCTACAAAATCAAGAGAATTTAGTGATAAAAACTTCTAGTATAACCTCAACTCTCTTATTCACAAAACTAAACTAAAAACATGAGTTTAAGCAAGCTTCTAAGTCCAAAAAGGGTTGATTTAGTATCAAAATTGCATACCAGATAACGATATTTTCAACCGTTATCACAATCCCAAACTTGAAACTTTGCTTGTCCTCAAGCAAACTATAACTTGGCTTAAACAAAATAATCATACTACAATGATCTAGCACACCAAAAAGCATTTTTCTCTAGGACAAGTAAATCACTCATGTATGCTCATCATAGAAAGATTAGTTAAGATATAATGATTCTTTAGCCAATCAAGCTTCAACTATGGTGCTCACATCATAAAGACATACACAACAGATGCAAACCTCATAAATAATCAATAACCAAGCAAGAATGTTATCATAAAGTGCATGGAACTATCCCTCACCAAAAATAGTGTTTCACTCAAACACTCAAAAGTGTTTCACTCAAGCACTCAAAAGTGTTTCACTCAAGCACTCAAAAGTATTTCATTCAAACTCAAAGGTGTATAGTGAGGTATCACTCTTACACTCTACCATCACAATGTCACATGAATCAACTTTGCCTTTCATTTAACCACATATCAAACACACTCACAAGTAAGTTATCATCACAAGGACTTTTTTAAGGCTTGTATTGAGGTTGGGCTACGAAAAAAATTGGTTTTTCTAGACAACAAAATCCTTGAGTAAGAGAGTGAAAAATTCATTTATTCACATTAACAATAACTCTCTTTCTTCTTTTATGTGACAAACCAATCTTCAATTTACTCCCAACTTTCCTTTCATTGAGCTTAATCTTTTCTTTCTTCTTTTACTTTTGCTTTTGCTCAATGCTCTTTCATGAATTTCACAAAGTTCTTTCTGGTTTCTCACAACCCCAAACTTGAACTATTCTCCATTACCAAAAAAACATACTCTACTTAACTCAAGGTAAGGATTTCAAAAAGGGTTTCCACTTTCAACTTTAGGCTCAAGGTTCAAAAGGGATAAAGAGAAACATTGTTCTTTGTTGGGTTCACCTATTGGAATTGACTCTAAGGGAGAAGAAAACATGGCCTTGATCATGTGTAATAAGCAAGCAAGTGGTTCGGTTAAGCTGAAAAATCGAAACAGTATGGTTATATTACCTTGGTTATATTTTGAACCGAGGCAGTATAGGCTGTTAAGAGCAAGCCCAGATCCTCCTCTTTCCCTTGAACGCGCACGAGCAGCAAGGCAGTATAGGCTGAAGCTTCTTCCCTTTTTCTTAATCCCTTGAACGCGGACGAGCAGCGAGAGTGCTGTGATGGAGGTGAGTGGCCAGTGAAGATGTGGAGAGACGCGGCGAGGCGCGACGAGGTCGCGTCTGATAGCGGCAAGGCGCAGCGAGGTCACGTCTGATAGCGGCAGCGCTTTCGCGAAGGTTCCAACTCCGACTTCTTCGATGGAGACGATTGTGCGAGGACGTTGGTCGTTCTGATTCGCGGCGCAAGTTTCCTTCTCCTCCTTCTTCCTCTATTTTTGTTTGCGTTTTAGGGGTTTCCTGTTTCGTATAAGAACGCGTGTTGGGTACGATGACGGACAAAGGCGGCGGTGGCGCGTTGCGAGGAAGGCGACAGCGGAGTGAATTGTTTTTCGATTTGGCATTTTAGGGTTTCTAAAATTGAGAATTAGAGAATTAGGTTTTTCAGTTTCAGATTTGGGGTTTTTGTTCTTGTTTTTGCGACTTAGGGTTTCAATTATTCATCTAATTTTGGGGTTCCAGTTTTGTTATCTGAGTTTGTGAAACAGCGTGGTTATGTCTTGAAACAAAATTCCTGGCTTGGGAAAATCAGGTATAACTCGAATTGTAGAGGAGATTCTCTCCAAGCGCGGGTCTTGTTCATCTTTAACGTTTTTCATAGCCATTCTGGTCACTCGTCTAGCGGAAGAAGTGGAACGGCGGAGGACGGTGGACAGAGGGTTGAAAGAAGGGTGTGAGAAAGGGAGGAGCGTAGGGAATCTAGAAGAAGGGCGTGAGACAGGGACTTCATTTCAAATTTATTTTTGGGCTTCTTTCTTTGCAATCTTGATTTTTTTTAGTTTGGGGGTTTGAAATTAGAATCTGGAATTGAAATCAGAATCGAAGCACAATGGTGGCTAAAGAAGAAAAAAAAAAGATCCTACTGCCTCGGTTCAGGTTCCAACCGAGACAGTAGAGGTGTGAAAACCTCTTATTTTACTAGTGAAAAGTTAAAGGAAAGTCTCCAAAATAGATTTGTAATGAGGTACTACATTGTAAATCAATTATTTTCAAAAGATGAAATAATTATATACAAATAGATACTACTTAACTCGTAATCTATTAATCAAAATCTCCATTTTTACAAGTAGAAATCATTTTAGAGAGCAAATATAAAAGTAGACAGCTTTTAGAGACTAATTGGGTTAAATAGTCTACCTCATAAGCATCTTATAACTAATCATACTTTTTTTATAAATAACTTTCTATCATTATTTTGAACGAATGTCCTAGTAATTAATATTATTTATTATTAAATTTAATTAAAAAGTAAATTAAATACTGTTACACGTCCTTCATCCTAGTAGAGAAGGAAGAAGAGGATGGTTTGAATGCAGTTAAGAATGGTTGATGCAACATAAATATAGTTTCATTGAATAAAAATAAAAGATTCCATAGTGTTGGAGCATAAGAAGAAGAAGAGAAGAGAAAGAACTACGGGATGGGGTGGGTGTCGTTGAATCTAGTGAGTGCCTTTTCCATCTGAGTCCATTTCTGCTCCAAAGTGCCAATGTATCCAATAGACATCCTGATGAGACCTGGGGAGATGCCGGCAGTCCTCTGCTCCTCCGCAGTCATCTCACTGCTGGTGCTGCTTCCAGAGCAGGACATGAGAGTCTCGTAATACCCCAAGCTCACCGCCATGAACCCAAACTGAACATCGTTTTGCAACTGACTCATCAACTTGTTAGCCCTATCCACCGTTTCCATGTCGATGCAAAGAAGCCCCCCGTACCCGTACTCCATGTTCGCCATTGATTTCAGGAGCTGATGCTGTGGGTGCTCTTCCAGCCCTGGGTAGATCACCTTCACTCCCAGTTTCTTCAGCCTCGTCGCGAACACTAACGCTCGGTGGCTGTGTTCCTTCATCCGAAGGCCCAGGTGAGGAATTCTCTCTGACAGCTCGAACGCCACCTTCGCATTCATCGTCGGACCCAGCAGCATCAGAGCCCCTTGGTGAAGGTCCATCATCGAATTCACCAGACTCGCTGGCCCGCACACAGCCCCTGCCAATCCAAACATTTCATTATCAGCATACCAAACCCTGCATGCACGCTTGCATGCATGCATATATATTTATATATTTATATATTTATATTTCAAATCACGGCAACAAATATGCTTAAGAGGAAAGGGACCTGCAATAATGTCAGCACCGCCGCTGATGAACTTCGAGATGCTGTGAACCACCACGTCAGCACCGAGACGGGCGGGAGAGATGACCATGGGAGCGAAGGTGTTGTCCACCACCACGGTCAGGCCTTTCGCGTGTCCCACGCGGCACAGTTCCGGAATGTTGGCCACCTTCAGGCTGGGATTGGCCACGGACTCGAAGTACAGTACCTTCGTCTTCCCTTCCACGATGGCGCTCTCCACGCTCTCCAAATCGTCTATGTCCACGAAGGTCGTGTTGATGTTGGATGTCCTGGGAAAGAAATGCGAGAGCAGGGCGTGGGTCCCGCCGTAGAGCGTGTTGGACGCCACCACGTGTCCGCCGGAGCTGCACAACTGTAAGAGCACCGAAGAGATAGCGGACATGCCGCTGGCGGTGCAATAGGCGGCCTCGGTGCCTTCCATGGCCGCCATCTGGCGGCCCAGGTTCAGCACCGTCGGGTTGAAATGGCGGCTGTAGATGAAGAAGTCGCGGTCGGGGCCCAGCTCACCGGCGAACATTCGGCGGAGGGTCTCCGGCTCCATGACCGTGAACGTGGCGGAGGCCTCGATGGACATGTTGACGCCGCCGTGCTCCCCGAACTCGTGACGCGTGAGGGCCAATGCGGCGGCGGGGTCCATGTCGCGTGCCGCGTTCTTCCTCTTGGCATCGCCGTCCGAAACTACATCGTTGGTGCCGCAACGCTTCCTGTTGGCCACCGCGTTTTCAGCCATGATAATCGGAAACCAAAGGGGAGAGAGATAGAGAGATTGGATTGGGGAAAAGATAGATCGTAAAGAGGACAGGACTCCCCTCTCTATTTATTTCTTCCCTGATATCCCTCCTTCACTTTCCATCGCATTTGCTGAACCTGGACCTGATATTTGCGCATGTGCTGAATCTCCTAATATTAGTCTTGTTATTATCAACAATTACGACACCATTTAATTCCCTATTTAATGCTTCACGAAACCCTAACATACACATCAAAAACTCATAACAAATAAAGTTTTAGAAAAAATAAAAATGGATGACAACGAATTACGATGTGAGAAAATAAACAGTAATTATGAATGAAGATAAAAATTCGTTTTATTTATGATTATGAAAAAAATAGTGTCGAAGATGGTAATTTGATTAAGAAAAAGAAAGCTTGACACAGTTTGATTTGAGTACGCGTTTGAAATTTAGTGGACAGGAGGGTTGTTGAGTAATGACCACCACACACTAAAGCTTATCATCATCCTCAAACAGTTCAACACTTTGACCATTCAATTCAACCAGTATTGTACGCATTAGTTTCACGGTCTCAAAATTAAAACTAATTATTTTTAAATTAAAATACTCATAATTAAAACTAATTATTTTTAAAAATACATAATAGAAATTTATTGATATTTTTCGCATCGTTAGATTATTACATTTACTATATCAATATATGTTATGGATGGTGAGTCAATAATTTATAATACTATAGTCAGTAGCTTTTTTCAATTTTCGTATATTTTATATTTAAAGAATATTAGCTCTAATTTTCTTTTTACTTATTTTAATTTTTAATCCTTGTGATTTCTCGTTAGCTTACTGTTTTTAAAAAATGTAAATATATATAGATTAAATTTTATAAAAATATATTTTACTTTAATTTTGTAACTTTCCAAATTTAAATTTAGTAATATAAAATTTACTAAAATGAAACATTACATGCATAATGATAAAACAAAATTACAAATTTGGGGAATAAAAATTTCACCTGAAGAACAAAAATAACTACCTACACTATCAGTTTCACTTTCCCCCTTTAGCTGCTCCAATTGAAAGACTGTATCTCTAAGCTCATACCATTAAGGTGATCATCGCAAAAGAGAAACAACATACAAAGACAGACCACAGAAAAGCAAGGGTAAACTAGAGTAATTTAATTGATTATACTAATCATGCAAATTAAACAAATACCTAAGCATGTGTCAACCAATCATTTCAAGTATACAATGACTGACCATACACTACAGGCAATGACCGAACACTTGACTTGACCATCCGGATTGTATGAATATGTAGCTTGAGGTTGTTCGTGCACCCGGGTGATATAGTAACTAGAAAACCATCAGTTGTCACCCGAGGTTAATCCGTGATAACTCACCTAAGACCCTATAGGCTAGGACCTCCTGACATTCTCACACAATGCATTACCCATCTCTACATGAGAATTGGTAATCATCAGAATTTCAGGATGAACGCCATGGATTTCGCTGTCCATATTCATACTTTACCACAACCTTGATAACAATTTACTGACACTACAGGAAATTCACTGTTTACCGGCGGGCTATTAGCGACGGCCCCTAGGCCTTCGGTAAACTTTATTTACCGAAGGATTTTTTGAGGGTTTGTAAAGTAGTACATAATTGGAGGATTTTGGCCTTCGATAATCGACATGGGACATTACCGAAGGAACTTGACCTTCGGTAAGTGGGTGGTGTATAAGAAAATTTTTCCCTCCCCCTCATTTCGCGAAAGCTCTTCTTCCCCCAATATTCAGAATCTCCCAACTCTTTCTTCCCCTAAGTCCTTATCCCAACTCCCTGTACTGCTTCTGCACAATGTTCCCTCCACCATTATTGCGGTCCAGCCTCGTGGTTCACTCAAGGAAGCCATCTTCGTCATTCGGCCGACCATTCGAAGAACGTCCTTAGAGTCATCTTCTCGAAGGGTATTGGTCGTTGGCTACCGGTGTTCGCCTGCGTTAGCTGCCGGAGNCCAATCTAAGAATGGTCACAATTATTTGGTCCAAGGGCCGTAGGCGCGGGGTGCTGGAGTTCGCCTCCCTCCATTGTGCTTCAACCGCAACGTCAGGTCGTGAACCGCCATTGCAGTTCAATCGTGCCTCTGAAAACCTGTATTAGCCTGAACTTCACTTCCGGTTTGAGGACTCCTGCTCGGGACACTTCACTCGCAAGGTAATATTCCTTCGTTCCCCACCTGAAACCCTACAGATATGATATACAGGTGTTGGAAATGTGGTGTGGTGTGTGATTCTGTATTGTTGTGATTATTGAATTGATGAATTTGTAATTGTATAATGAGAAACATGAGATTCTGTTCCATTTATCTTCTTTCATTTGATTTGCCTAATCTTGTATAATGGAAACTAAGAGAGCTTACTACTGGAAAATGGAAAGAGGCCAGAGCCTCCTCTAGCCGTGAGTGGTTCCTAAACTACTCCTAAAATTTACTCTAAAATCTACTGAAATCTACACTGCTGCTGCTGCCAATTTATATGCCAAAGATTTTGTCTTCTCCCGTGTTCACTCCTGCTTTCAGTCGTATTCCAGTTTCTTGTCTGGCAGCCTAAATTCCTTCACGTTTTGTTTTTGTTCCCCTAGCTTGCTGACTTCCTCCCTCCTAGATGTGCCAAGAAAATAGGTGGGGGCCCTCCAATTTTTATCTTCCTGAATCACGTTGCACACCATTCAGCCCTTTTGCACACAGCTGCTTGTTGCTTCGTTCAACTCTTTGCTGCTGGTTGTGCTTCCACTACTCATGGGTTATGCTTCTTCTTTCCATCCAACTCTCTACCTTAAAACGTTCAAGAGTCAATTCTCAAACAAGAAGTGGCTGTAGCTGTTCCAACTCCAAGCTGCTGGACCGTGAATGTTTTTCCCATGTGTTTTCCCTTGCAAAATTCTAATGTCCGTGAGCTTTGCCAACCATGAGTGGTGGCTGGACTTTCCTTCCCTATTCCTCTTCTTTCACACATCCAACTCCATTCAGCCGTGAACTCATCTCCTTTTCTCTCTTAGCTCTTCCACTCCATAGAAGCCTTTCTTTTGAACGTGAGCTGCTGCCATGCTTCTCAAAGAAACCGTGAGTTTCCTTCTTCCCAACTGGATGTGATGGTAGCTACAACTACTAGACATGTTTCCCCTCCTTCCAAGGCCGTGAGTGAAGCTTCTCTACGTGGCTGGACTGCTGCAAACTGGATCGTGTAGGTAGCTGCAGCTGTTGGTGGAATTGTCTTCACTTCATTCGCGCTGCAAGTGGCTTCTCTTCACGCAGCTAGCTGCTTCTTGCAAGGTGTTGGACCGTCTTTAACCAAGCTGGATGTGCTCTCTGCTGCCATTTATTTATTTTTGTTCCAGCAAAGAAGGATGTGGCAGCTTTCTCTCTTTTCGTAACAGCACCAAAGAGAATGAAATGCTTTCTCCCAAACCAATTAAAAACCACGTTTCCAGCCAACAATAGAATGTGGTGGCCCCAACTTTTGTTCCATGTGTTTAGCTTTGTCCTTTGCAAAATTCTGAAAGAAAGGAGTTGGAGTTGCAGCCGTGAAACATTGAATAAAATTCAGCACTTTGTAGCTTCTTTTGGATGTGAGATTTCAACATGTGGTCCCCTCTTTTCCATCCATTTTCACGTATACACTTCATTCTAATGTGGCAGCACATTTGTTTTCTTCTAGCTATAAAATGGTGAGGTTTTAATAAGTGTTGACCCCAATTTTATTTTACAATTTCCTTATGCCAAAGAAAAGTTATCCAATGCTAGGTGGTGGCTCCCATGTTTGCCAAAAGAATTGTTCATGTGGATGCTTTTCAATTTGGTTTGGACGTGCATATGCAAGCTACTCTTCTGAATTTGTTTTGCCAATCATCATATAAGCTTCTCAATAAAACCGTGAACACTTGCAAAGTGGTCCCTCCATCATTTCACTTCAACTCTTTAGTGATTTCCAACGTAGCTTTGCTACATGCTTTGCCAAAATACATTTTCCTATGGCATGTATGTAACAAACTATCAACTATCTTCCAAATAATTTAAGAAACCGTGAACACTTGCACATGTGGTCCGTGTGTTATTCCAACTATGACAAGTATTACAAACAATGCACACAAATTAGAAGTAACTCAAACAGTAAGCACTAAGCTGACATAGGGGAGTAAAAAAAAATACTGGGAACAACACAGAAGGAATTTGAGCAAAATAAAAACTATACATTAAAATAGACATCCAGACGAAACTATGAAAAAAAATTGCATGGAAAACGGATAAGAATTGAACTCGAACGAAGACACACAAGTTGACACAACATTCACGCAACACTGTGCGAAAATTGAGTTTATACTTTTTTTTTCAGCTATTCGGTAATTACCGAAGGCTTTTGTCCTTCGGTAATTACCGAGGGCCAAAAGCCTTCGGTAATTACCGAAGGACAAAAGCCTTCGGTAATTGTTAGCGACAAGGGATTTACCGAGGGCTCTTTGGTCGTCGATAAGCCTTCGGTAATTACCTTTTACTGACGATTTTGGGCTGTTTCCGAGGGCTTTTGGCCTTCGGTAATGCCCTTCTTTTTTGTAGTGTGAGACATTCCTCCTTGGAATTCTCTTTCACATACATATTACCATACTTTCAATTTGACACCATTCTGATAATGCATACATCAACCATCAAAGCAATTGGAACAATTAATTAAAATAGCACATTGGAATAAATATAAATATGGGCCTTACAGAAATCACCAAACATATATGAACAATACCGAACACCCTGTGAATGTTGGAGACCGATCGTTATTAAGAGACCACACACCCCACTAAGACCGATCGCTACTAAGAGACCACACAACCCACTAAGATCGATCGCTACTAAGAGACCACACACCTTACTATGACCGATCGCTACTAAGAGACCACACACCTCACTAAGACCGATCGCTATGACTAAAACAAAATACTAGTACAAGACCAATCGGTCATTAACTGAAAAGCTCTACAGAAGTAGAACTCAGTTAAAATCGAACACAAGAAGAAAGCCAAATGGTCAATGAATGCCACTCGGCTATTTGCATAATTCTGCAGAATAGCTACAAAATCATGATCAACCACTATCTTCACCAATTCCTACCACTTCCCAACTTCTAATCCTCCAAACATGATTCATATACCATTTTAAGCCTATCCA